ATGTGTCGGCCTGTTTCAGGTGCTGAGGAAAAAGTATGAACTATCAATGAAACAGCTAAGATGTTATCATGAAATACCAAGCATCAGAAAAAGGATTGAGAGCCAAAAAGTACTATATATAGAAAAGCCAACTGAAGCAATTCTGTAGGTAATTTTACCTACTTTCTCCCAAACCAAACCTGCAACACTTCTGGTCATTAATTCATTATATGTGATAATAACTAAGAACTTGTCCTAAGTTGCTGAAACAGAAGTTACATTATGTCTCTCACTTACTTGTTAGGGGACACTTGTCAAATTATTTCACATCTCTAGACCAGGATATTCTTATCTGTAAAGTGAATTACTAATATCAACTGCTCACAGAGCTGTTTCAAGAATTAAAGTTAATGCTTATGTTAGCACATAGTCTGGAATGTGAAAAGTATTAAGATAAAAGTTGATTATTATCATCTTTATTATTCAGACAAAATACCTTAACCTTGAATTATTGAGACAGTTATCTCAATGATTATACTCATTTCTTATTATTTCAAACATCTTCCTAAGACTCTTTGAGACTTGTGCATAAAGGCAGGATAATACACTTAAGAAAGGATTAATAGACTGACAGAAAATGAGAACTGCAGAATCCCAGCCTGGTGGTCACCTCTGGGGGTCACCAAAAGCTGCTTTGTATTTTCCTTCTTAGCAGCTCTTGTGGAATGACTGGGTTGTATCAGGAGCAATTCTAAACAACAGTGGACAAAAGTTCATCCTTTAACGCCAAACCCTAAAAAGTAAGCTAAAGGGAGAATAAAACCAAGGAGGCTTCTGTCCCTATATATATATAATAATTAGCTTCTCTTTATCAGGAGTGGTTTAAATTAAAATAGAGGAAAATTGTTTAATGGGAAATATTGAAAAGTGGTATTTTTAATCCTTTATAAACTTTATTTTTTAGTTGAAGTGTAACTGACATATAACATTTTATTAGTTTAAGCAGTATAACATGATAATTGGATATTTGTACATATTGTGAAATGGTCACCACAGTAAGTCTAGCTAACATTCACTGATTTTACTCATATGTGGAATCTAATGAATAAACTGAACTAACAAGAAAAATGGAATGAACTCATACATGGAGAGCAGGATGGTAGCTAGTGCAGGGGAGGGAGGGTTTGAGGGTGCAGAAATTGAGCAAAAAAGCAAAAGGATTCATGGACATGGACAACAATGTGATGAGTGCTGAGGGGAGGGGGGCATAACAGGACTAAAAGGTAACAACAAATACAATAAAGATAAAAATCATATGACATCACTTATATGTGGAATGTAAAGATCAGAATAAACAAACAATTGAAAAATAACAACACCGTTATAAATGTTCATCTCTTGTGATCAGAATGTCTAAGATCTACTCTCTTAGTAACTTTCAAATCTACACTACAGTATTATTAAGTATAGCAGGGGTGTCCAACTCCTAGCAAGCAGCATGCAGAACTTTTTTGCTTATCTGTGGTGGTGGATATCACAAAAATTATGCACAGATCTTTCTTTTGCTCATCAGTTTTCATTAGTGCTCACGTATTTAACGTCACCCAAGAAAACTCTTCTTCCAGTGTAGCCCAGAGAGGCTAAAAGGTTGAACATGGTGACCATGCTGTACTTTACATCCCCAGGACTTACCTTATAACTGGAACTTTGTACCCTTTGACCATCTTCACCCAGTCCCTCCACCCCCCCCACACACACCTCAGGCAACCACCAATCTGGTCTCTGCATCTATGAGTTCATATTTTTATTTTTTAGATTCCATATAAGTAAGATCACATGGTATCTGCTTGTGTATGACTTATGTCACTTGGCACAATGCCCTCAAAGGTCCATCCATGTTGTCACAGATGGCAAATTTCGTTTTGGATGGTGGAATAATATTTAATTATATATTCATATTCCACATTTAGTTATCCACTTATGCACTGAAGAACACTTAGATTAACCCATGTCTTTGCTTTTTTTTAAATAATGCTGCAATGAACATAGGGGTGCAGATATCTTTTCAAGTTAGTGTTTCCATTTCCTTTGGGTAAATACCCAGAAGTGGAATTACTTGGTTGTATTGTAGTTCTACTTTTAATTTTTTGCAAAACTTCACAGTTAACACATCCTTGCTAATATTTATTTCTCACCTTTTCTGATAAAAGTTATTCTAACATGTGTGAGGTGGTATCTCATTATGGTTTCGATTTGCATCTCCCTGGAGTTGGCCATCTCTGTGTCTTGGAGGGGGGAGCATTTATTCAGATTTTTCATTTTTGAAATCAGATTATTTGTTTTTTACTATTGAGTTATATGAGTTCTTTATATATTTTGGGTATTAACCCCTTATCTGATATATGTGACTGGCAAATATTTTCTCCCATTCCATAGGTTGTCTTTTCATTTTGTTGCTGGTTTCATTTGCTGTACAAAAGCTTGCTGGTTTGATGCAGTCCCACTTGTTTATTTTTGCTTTTGTTGCCTCTGCTTTTGGTGTCAAATCCAAAGTATCATCACCAAAAACACTGTCAAGAAAATCACCACCTATGTTTCTTCTAGGAGTTTTATTTCGGGTCTTGCGTTCAACTCATTAAACCATTTTGAGCCAATTTTTGTATATGATGTGTAAGGAAGTGATTCAGTTTCATTCCTTCGCATGCATTGTCCTGTTTTTCCAACACCATTTTTTTTAAAGAAACTGTCCCTTCCCTATTATATATTCTTGGCTCCTTTGTCATAAATAAATTGGCCATGTATGCATAAGTTTATTTCTGGGCTCTCTACTCTGCTTCATTCACCTATGTGTCTCTAAAACTGCTATATATCTTAGTCGTTTTATAGCACAAGTTCTAGAATACTTTCCATAAGAATCAGCTAACAGTTTGATTTCTTGGTATTTTTTCTGTTCCTTGCTAAACTTTGAGCAACTCCCACAGGCTGTGACTGTGAAGAATTTTATTACATAATGACAAGAAAGATTGTGTATTACAAGAAATGTATTTTAGTGAATTATTTTGAAAGTTTAAGAAAATGACAACTGTCATCTCTTAAAGAATCTCTTACTGTGCACTATGTAGATGTTATTATTTTACCCTCTTTATACACCGTTGTATATATCCACTATAAATTCCAGGAATACAGGTGGACAACGTTAATAGCAGTCCATCTGAATTAACAACTTCTTTAGGATTTTTCGGTCTTACCAAGTTATTTTTCCTCCTACCAGGAGAAATATATTCATCAATATTTACAGAATAGTGGACACTTTTAGCATACTGTTATTTGGTTTCTGGTATTAGCAAACTTAAGTATTTTCATACCTTAATGTCAGCCTACTAATCAACAGAAAGCTCTAGTTCTGGAAAACTTGGGAAATGTATACATTAGTCATATCTTTTACAAAGATGGTAATTTCTTTTCTCTTGAAATTAGCACAATCTATCTTCCTGAGGACTAGTAAAAGGAAAAGTACTTTTGAACCATCCTGGATTAAACAATTTACACACCCGCGCACACACTCACATACTGGCATCCTGCCTCCCTGAATTAATTTCGGGATTGAAATTTGCATCCAAGGACGGAGGTAAATGTACGCGCTGACGCGTCAGCCTTTTGCTGCCCCAAACATCTCTGGCAGAAAGTAAGCGGAAGTGACTGAGAAATCCCTCTTAGAACTGGTGCTTCCCCTCTGGGGTCAAGACTCTCCTTTCGCACTCGCCTCCTTCTCCTCCCAGTATCTCGGCGCCAAAGTCCCCGCCTCTCCTCTCTAGCAAGAGTGGTTCTTAACCTTTTTTGGGTTGAGACCTACAGAAAACTGTGGACCCTCTCAGAATGGGGACAGAGTCTAGGGGACAGAGCAGAGTTTGAAAGCTTTGCGAAACTTTAAGGAGACCAACGACGTGAAATACACCCTAAACTGCAAGATTAAGAACGCCATCCATAAAACTTCTGATTCGGGGAAATTAGACGATAAATCTCGTCCCTAGTGAGACACTGTGGAAAGGCAGGCGCTCCTCCACTTGGTCACTTGTAAGAAACCAAAAGAAGGGATTAGACGGGGAAAAAATAAGGAAGAAGACTTGCAAAAAGATGGAAACGGGGAAAAATAAAGAAAAAAGGAAAGAGAAATGTGGGAAATTAGAGGGGAGCAGTGGGAGGAGGAGGAGAGACCACGGAGGGGGTGGGGTTGAGGGAGGGCGACTCGGAGAAGCCTACGGACGGAGCGAGGAGGGAAAGGAGAGACTCCTCCAGCCGAGAGGAGACGAGAGACACAGAGCCGCCGAACGCTAGGCTGTGAGCGCCAGGAAAGGGAGACCGTCCTGTGCTCTCCCTCTGCAGGGCAGGGAGTCTCAGAAAAGCTCTTCTCCACGAGGTGGCGAGGACCACGACCCACTGCCCCCAGCGCTCCGGGTGCTTCAGGCCCGGGCATCTTGAAGCTGGAGGCCGGTCGGGAGTCTCGCTCGGACCGGACAAGCAGGGGGCTGCGGTCTGGAAGGAGGCGGTCCGCACTCACTGCGCTTTCTCCTCCCCTCTTCTCCTAGAGGCGGGCACCCGGGGTATTTGAGCGGCTGAGGACCCGCGGCCCCCCCGCCTCCGCCCCCCATTCAAGAAGCAGCTCCGCTATCCCCGCCAGCACAGGGCGCCCGCCGCGCCTCGGAGCGCACGATCCGCGCTTTCTCCCACTCGTTCCCTGGACATTATGCGGCCGAGCAGCCGAGCCCCAATCCTCCTTCTACTGCTACTCCTCCGGCTCCTCCTGCGGCCTGAGTGGCTCAGCTCTCGGCAGGCGGCGGCGTTGCTCAGCCGAGCGCAGACTGGACCCTCCCGGCGAGACCTCAGCGACTCCTAAAGTTAAAACTTGGCAGCGAGCGCCCGTCTCCGCGCGCTCTACGCGGCCGCTGCCTCGCGTCGCTGCTGCAGCCAAGGAGGGCAGGAGGGAGGGGGGTGGGAGCAGCGGGGGAGGGGTGAGGAGCACCATGCAGTTTGTATCCTGGGCCACACTGCTAACGCTCCTGGTGCGGGACCTGGCCGAGATGGCTAGCCCAGACGCCGCGGCGGCCGTGCGCAAGGACAGGCTACACCCGAGGCAAGGTAACGAGGCTCCGGACCCCGGGACCCCTGCACTCCTGTCGCCACCTCCCAGCCTCCACTCCCGGGAGCGGGCACCCCGTAGCGGAAGCCTCTTTCCTTTTCCTAGAAAGAATTATTTTCCGCTTTGCAGCCTCTCCCTTCTTTAGGTCATTCCCAGCCAATTTCTAGAGAGTGACACTGTGAAAGTAACTTATGCCCCACACCCTTTGCTTTTAGCCTGAGTTTTCCTCTTCCCAACCTCCGTACCCCAAACTATCTTAACTCAGTAACTGGAGGCAACGTCTAGCGGCCGGTGTGTTTTATTTATTCAGGGTATTTGCCAGAACCTGAAATTACCTTATATATTTTGACTTGTTCATTTTTCTGGCTCCTACAAAATATTTATCCACTGAGGGTAAAGAGATTGATTCAAATGGGAAGAAAACCCCGCTGGGAAATAGGACAAAGCCCTCACCTTTATTTTAAAACTTGTGGAAAACTGAATTACTGGCTTATATGTCTCTGCTTCTCTTTGCAGTGAGATTATTAGAGACGCTGAGCGAATACGAAATCGCGTCTCCCATCAGAGTGAACGCTTTCGGAGAACCCTTTCCCACGAACGTGCACTTCAAAAGAAGGCGACGGAGCATTAACTCTGCCTCTGACCCCTGGCCTGCCTTCGCCTCCTCCTCTTCCTCCTCCTCTACCTCCTCCCAGGCGCATTACCGCCTCTCTGCCTTCGGCCAGCAGTTTCTATTTAATCTCACCGCCCATGCCGGATTTATCGCTCCAGTGTTCACTGTCACCCTCCTCGGGGCGCCCGAGGAAAACCAGACCAAGTTTTATTCCGAAGAAGAAGCGGAACTCAAACACTGTTTCTACAAAGGCCATGTCAATACCAAGTCCGAACACACGGCGGTCATCAGCCTCTGCTCAGGAATGGTGAGTGGGCGCGCGCCCCTCCCCTCCCCCTACCCGCTTTTGAAGACTTAATTGCTTTCTAGCCTAAGACTCTCACTCACAGCGGCGAGTCTCTGGTCTGGTGTTAAGTAGGAGCTGGAAGCTGGTTTGCATCCTGCGGTTTGGGTGGCTATCCCAAAGCTTGCGCTTACACTCAAGAGGAGCGCTCGAGGGGGTTCTGGATTTGGGGAGCTTTCTAGTGTCCTAACCTGGCTCGGCTGCGCTTTGCCTAACGCCGGGTGGCGGCTTGGAATTGGTATACAAACTTGGAGAGTTTGAAGCACACTCGGCGGCCCAGGAGCAGCTGAGTGCAGGGAGGACACGAGTCCTTATTGGTGCATCTTGAATTGGGGGTGTAGGCTGAAGATCCCCGTGCTTGGGTCTGGGGAGTTCCTTCTGTGTGCCTTGGAGGGCGGTGCGTAATCTAGAGTCCTTGCGTACTCTTCTGGCCTTTTTTCACGCTCCAGGAACCCTGAGACTGAACAGGATTGACAGGGAACAGTACCAGTCCCAGGAAGGGAAGGGTGGGCCCAGTGCTTTGGGGGCGGGAATGAGGGCGGAGCTGTCTCGGGCCCGAGAATTTGGGTGGAAACTGGTAGAAGGGTGTGGCGCAGTCTGATTCTGCACCCTGCTGGTGGTGGGACACGGGGAAGTAGATATAGTGGGAGAGAGCCTGGAGAGGCTGACCCGATGGGATTTGGGGGCTTAAACCCCATTGGGGTTTCCTGAGAATCGGAAGAGGGAGCCTGCGGAATACGTTTCCCTTGAGAGGGAGGGCAAGAGAACGGGGCGGCAACCTCCCAACGCAACAAATACAAACTAAGCAGCGGATCCAAGCTGGTACCCTGATCCCCTGCTCACCACCGCCCCCGACTTGCCCTCCAAGAGGTCTTACACGGCATCTGCCCTTTCCCCCCCGTGACATCTGAGAACCCGCAGTAAGATTCTGGCCCCAGTGATTGTAGTCCTTGACTTTCTCAAGCGACGTGCGTTACTGCTACGCGCGTGTGACGCAGAAACTTTCCCGCTTAGACTCTCCCGGCGCACAGCGCCTAGGTGATGCGTTAGTCTTTTCCAAAGCACCCACAATCCCCACTGCCACCTTTTACAGTGGGAGCATGGATACTTACCCAGGGTGCTCGGCTGGCCCCTCCGCGCTCTGCTGTTCCTGGGGCCAGAGATCTCCAACTGGATGTCGCATCCATCCCCACCGCTCCACGGAGTGCTCGGGTGGGGAGCTAGGAAAGCCAAAAGACTGGAAGCGGGGAGGTTTAGCGTGCCGGGACCCGGGCATTGGAATGAGCCCATTTAACCCCCAGCAGAGAGCCTGGCACTGTGGCGCGTGGTCGAGATTGTTTGGGGGTGGACGGATACTGCAGTTCGGAGAAGGCGGTGGGGGGTGTTGCGATGAGCCATTGCAGCTTCAAGACCTAGGTAGGACCGGAACCCAGGAATCCTCCTGTTCTTCGAAAAGTTACGGCCCGCCGAGCTGGACGTATGTCAGTCGCCAATATCAGAAGCATCACAGTGATTGTAGATCCCAAGACTGTGACCCCCAATTTCAGAACCTAACGGTTAGAGCTGCGTCTGTACGTCACGTTTGTAAACAGCCTTTACTCCTCCCCCGCCCCGCCTCCACACCCCGCTGAGTGGCCCCAGCAGTTGAATGAATATTTTACTGCGCAGGAACTTAATTTCTATTGGCAATTTTAGGCAGTAACTCGCACGTGTAATGGCAAGTGGTAACTCTGAGGGAACTGAGACCCAGGCATCAGAAAAGATGGCTAGTGTCTGTAACCCTATTTATATCACATTTAATTTGCAATCTGCCTCTTTGGGGGTGCACGCTTCAGTGATTAATCTAGCCCCAAACCCTTGCCCCTTTGTCCTCCTTCTGGAATTTATCCCCCCCCCAAGATTTCCCCTTACCATTTCTTTGTATCAGTAGAATTGTGAAGCTCGTGGTGTCCCTCCCAGGAAATGTGCCAGAAAATCTTTCACTCTACAGAGCAAGCTGTGCTATATCCCCTCCCCCACCACGTACACCTCACCAGTAAAGTATGCTTCCCTGAATTCCATCTCAAAGGTGTCTCTTACGTTTTCCGAGCCACCCTAACCCAGTTCTAGCCCTCTTTACTTCTCTCCTGCTGTCTCATTAAGACTCATGTCTAAAAAATATTTCCATCTGGTTTTCCTCCAGTCTTTTCTTTCTTATCTCTGCCACTAACAGATTAATGACGACTGGGTGCAAAAATCACATCACTACCCAGTTCACTGACTCTGAGCAGCTCCTTACTGCCCAGTGATCAGTTATAAACTCTATCTGGTATATCAAACCATTTACAATATACCTTCTCATCCCTCTCACATCCAAATGTCCAGGGGGATCTCTCAAGCTTCCTCCACAAGTCCTGTATTTCAGGCAGTCTGCTTTTGCTTCTTTTTCTAAATTTACCTCTCATCCTAATCCTACCTCATTGCCTTTGGGCCTTTGGATTTCGTCATCTCACCCAGCATCACGTGCTTAAATTATGTCTTTCTTTTGAAGAGTAACTTACATGTCTTCTTTTCCAGAAAACCTCTTCCTGGTCCTGTAGACTACTATTATATCTTCCTCTCCAACTTCATAGACACTTCTCTATATTTCTCCTATGGTTCTTAGTATGCTTGCCTTTGTATTATATAGTTCTTGGTACCGTGTGTTCTGTCCCTTTCACCTTGGCAGCAGGATCAACATCAATTCATTTCTTTCCTGTACTGGAGCTTTATATATTATAGGTACATAGTCCCTATGCTTGAATAAATGTTTGCCTTGGCCAAGAAAGGATTATTCTTTGATCAAGCGGCTATTTGTGAATCAACAACAAAATTAATTGGGTACTACATGGATACCATTTATTGAACTCTTACGTGCTTTGCCCTGTAATGAGTACTTTACATCTGTATGTCTCATACAAAACCCTCACAACAACCCAATCCTCAAATAACTCACTTTACAGGATGGGACACTGAGGCTGTGAGAGTTAGAGACATGCTCAAAGCCTCATAGCTCCTAAGTGGCAGAACTGGGGCTCCCACCCAGCCTCTCTGACCCATGCTCTTAACCATTCAGACACTGATTCTATAGCCCGAAAGAGAATTTGGGGGCGGGGTTGTTTGGTTGGTGTTTTGTCTTGTTTTGTTTTGCTAAGGCACCAGAGTAAAGTCAGGATACCCAAGTTATAGATTCAGCACTGGCACTATTCAGATGCCTCTGTACTGCCAAAAAGAAACTTTGGACAAGTCACTTCCTCCCTCTGGGCCTCAGTTTCCCTTTTTAACAGAGGTGCCAGATCCATACAGATGAACTCCCAACTTCTCTCCCAGTATTTATAGCCTGTCTCTAGTAGGTTTTACACATGGTCGTATGTATCCTGCACTGTGTTCAGAGTATACTCGAGTTGTGTATTGAAACAGAGGGAGCTGCCTGGATGAGGTGGACTTTGTTGAATCACTTCTCTATTCTTCTGCTCTGTTGCTTAGTCTGACCACACCAGAGCTGCCCCCTCACTGAGTCAGCGGCTCATAAATCATGTGGGGAACTTTTTTTAAAATATAGATTCTAGATCTTACTCCTGAAAGTTTGGTCTAGAATTAGAAATGTAGAAATTTGCAGAATAAAAAATAATGCCCCAAATCTGAATTTTTAGAAAACGTCCCAGGCAATTTTGCCACTTAGCTGGGTTTGGGAACCGGTGTCTTAACTTTGTGCTTCATAAACTTTACCATGCATAAGAATGCCATGGAGTCCTCATTAAAATTTTTATTCGTGGGCACTATTCTGAGATTTTTGATTCGGTAGGTCAGACTTGGGTTGAATTGTGATTATTTGAATTTCGAACAAATTTCTGGATGATGCTAATGACCTTTAAGGACAGTCATTCCCCTTGTATCTAGGGAAAGATTAAAGTCCTCTGCTTTTCTTCTTTTTTTTTTCTCTTCTCCTGCTCCATCTACTTTTTTCAGTGCAGGAAAAGGAACAGTGGAGGATAAGAGAAGGGCTTGATTTCTCCCTTTAAACATTGCATGGCACGGGGAACTTTGGCACTCTCGTAATGTTTGGTTTGGGTGGTTCAACCTTGATACTTCATGCATCATTTGCAAAACTTGCTGGTACGTGGGAAGAGAAGGAGAAAGGGTTACCTCTTTCGAGGTGCTTAGAATGATTGGCAAACACAAATTGTATCCTAGTGGTCAGAGGCTAACACCTCAACAGCAAAAGCCACTAATGTGTTCTAAGCCCTTAAAAGTTGTCACTTTGCTAAGCACTTTAAGTGCATTATTTCACTTAATCTGCAAGATAGCCCATTGTAGTGAGTATTTTTATCCCTAATTGATGAACCAGGAAGCTGAAGCTAAGCATTTAAGGAAGTTGCCCAAGATGGGTGGGTAAGTGGCAGTGCTGGGACTAGAAACTAGGGCAGCCCAACTCCAAAGCCTTGTGCTGCATCACTCCTTATTGCAAAGGGAAGGGCTGGTAAGAGACTCATGTGCTAGAGTCACAGGTGGCACCACCGTGAGTGCCTTGTGGTCAGCATCTACTTCCTGAACTTCAATTCATGATAAGGCTTCCATGGGTCAAGTTTTCCCTTGGAGCTCCTACCCGTCTTTCAGTTTCCAGGCTGTGTTCACACAGAGAAACACTCTCTCTCAAAAAGTGTATAGAAGGGAATATGTGATTAAAACTTCAGCACCAAGGAAGTGTGTCTTACAGGTAGATTTGGATAGCAGGTGCAATAGTGTAGAATCAAATGAAGGATAAGGTACTGGTGTGGCAGAGAATGAAATAAACTGCTTCTCCAAGGGTATCACAGCATTTTATATTTAAGCAGCCCTCATGAGAAAGGGATTGGGTAAAATGGCACCATCTCCACTTTGAAACGTTTTCTTATTTATTAAATCAGCCTCTCATCTCCTCCTTTGCAGCTGGGCACATTCCGGTCCCACGATGGGGATTATTTTATTGAACCACTACTGTCCACTGATGAACAAGAAAATGAAGAGGAACAACACAAACCCCACTTAATCTATAGGAGCAGCACCCCACACAGGGAGTCCTCGACAGGAGGGCATGCATGTGCCACCTCAGGTATTTGCTTCTTGCTTCAGCAGAGATCCCACCTCTGTGAAATGGGTTAATTGTCATGCCACAAAGATGGAGCTCTTTCACATGCTACAGAGCACTACCATTTACATTGTCTTTTATTTGATATTCAAGTGAGGTAGGTATATCTCCATTGTACCGATGTGAAAGCTAAAGAGAGTGGTAGCAACTTGTCCAGGGTTGCACAGTTAATAAGTGTCAAGACCAGGATTCAAACTGAGATAGCAGTGACTCCCAGCCCACTATGGGCAGAGTTGCCTCTTTCATTGAAGTTGCTAATTTTTGTGATTAAGTTTTAATAATGTTCTAGGCTATTATAGCCATATCTTCAGTTAACAATTGTTTATGTTTTTTTTCTATTTATTTATGTTTTTACCATGTGAAGTTACAAAACACTCTTACAAATGAAACTCATAAAACTTCAATGTGTTTCTTGGAATTTTTCCTGTCCACTTCAGGTTAGCTCATGTTCTGTGGCTTCAGGAAATACAAGGTGGAAGTCTGGGTTGCACAGTCAGGTTTCTATCAGATGCATCTATGCCTACAGCTAGATTTCCTTCCATTCTAGCCAGATTTGTTGAAGTCTTATGCTGACAGTGTTTGGCCATTGCCAAGGATGTGTCTGTCATTCTAGGCACCCTCTAGAACTTATGCTTATCCGTGTTACTCAGTCTGCAGTTTTGAAAAAACCCTTCACTGTCCTTGAAGCCTGATTACTTTCTCTGTGGTGATAGCCTATGATTAGAAGTCAACCCTCAATTTGTTCCTCTGTTTTAGAATGTTTGTTACTATATATATATATATATATATATATATATATATATATATATATATATACATATTTAATTCTTGGACTTTCCATTTCTACAAATTTATCTTTATCCCTATTTTCTATTTTTAAAACTTGCCTTTCTGGATTTAATAACTTCTCAGGGTCTTTCTGGCCTCTCCAAATAAGATAAAAATTTAAGACCAATAGGTAGTTTCCTAAAATGCTCCCCAAACAATCACTTGTTTCATCTCATCTCTGTGTCCAATTCTTCCACTATGACAGTGTAGGTCCTATTCCCTCCTGGATCTATTATTTCTAAAGTGAATCATTTAACAAAAGAACATTAGCTGTCTGTAGCCTGGAGTAGTCAAGTCATAGGGAGCAGCATCATAGGGCATAGCACTGTGGGACTTTTGGCTTTATCCCATCCAATGTCCTATTCTTACTGCCAGAGCTGGGTGGAATCTAACTGAAACATTCTGTCTGTTAGACTGTCTAAAGAGCCAAGGGGTAGGAGAGGCAGTATGAATGAGGAGTGTACTTAGAAGCAATAGTCATAGCAGCTTGCATGGTGCCAAGACTGCCAGCTGCTAGCAAGTTCAATGGGAAAACATATATCATATTTTGTTGACCATGCTGGTAAGAATATTGACATTTGCTTCTTGACTTCCCAAATCTGAATTATCAAGCGTGTATTTTATGCATGTATATACACGCACACACATATATAACAAGTGATAGAAAGGAAATACATGATTCCTCCCTTTCTAACTTACTGATATGTGTTCCAAAGATACTTAAATAATATTTTCATTGATCAGTTTGTTGACCAATGGTACTTTGTGACATTCTTGTGCCCTGAAGTGGCAGAAAACCAACATTTAAAAAAACTACCATTTATTACTATTCTCTACTGGTGTTGGGCAAAGCACTCTGCCCACACAACTTCACTTAATCCTTACCACAGCCTGTGGGGTGGGTAGCATTCTTAACTTCCATCAGACCTGGTAAAGGAGCTGAGGCTTGCAGATGTGAACAACGCATGATCTCACAGCTAGACCATAACGAGCGCCCATGTTTGCCTGCCTTGTGCCATGATTCGTTTTCTCTGTGCAGGCGTGGTGTATGTGCACGTGTGTGTGAAAGAGAGAGAAAAAGAATAATATCATTCAAAATATCCTCAAGTTTTTTTAAAAATTAACTGCTCAAGTCAATGGGCATTTGGTTGATTTTGGGAGCTAGAAGACAAGACATTGTCAAAACTTGTTAAAAACACAAAGAAAAGAGAATCTGAAAAGGTGACGATTGAGGACAGCAGAAGATGCCTTGTTTTTTCAAACCAGCTTATTTGGGCTCTGGTCATTATTGGTACTGGGGCCTTTAAGTGCCGCATTCCAAATCACAACTACTAACTTTTACTTTTCCTTCTGATTTTGGCTTGTTAGTGAGTGGTGTCGTGGGCCTTTCCTCCATCCAGTGGCTTTGATTGGCTCTTGCAAAGGTTGCTGCTGGACCCTGCTATTCTGGTTTCTCTCCTCCAGCTGCTCCTGCATCCCTTCTCTCAGTCCAGATGCAGGAGGCTCACAATACCTGGAAAGAACTTTGAAACATGACACAGTTCACCAGTAGCCATTAGATAGATGAACCAGCAGGTCATGGAAACCTCTGAAACCGGGTAGTCTTTGCACAGGGAGGGAAATAGGTGGGGGTGAGGGGGGTGTGGAGAAGACACTCAGGCCAGAGAGGAAAGCATCCTGTCTGTAAATATCAATCCATTTATCCATTCAACATCAGGTCTTCCCACTCCACACCCCAAGAGCAGTGACTGGTAGCCCAGAGTAAATTTTAGAAGTACCCTCTGAGCCTCATACAAATGTAGATTTTTTTTATTGTTGTTCTATTACAGTTGTCCTAACTTCCCCTCATTGCTTTCTCCTGCCCTGCCCAGCCCCCATCCCCCCACAGTCAATCCCCATCTGCTGTCCGTGTTCTTTAAACAAACAAAACCCCTGTACCAGGCTAGAAAGATGGAGTGAGATCACTGGGTTTAGTAAGTGCTCCAAGTGATTCAGAAGTTCAGCTAAAGAAGAGTCCCTGCTAAAGCTGGATTTAAGGTACTAACCACTGTCCATAGCTTGTTTGCTTTGCCCTCATCTTGGCCTTCTCCATTATTGTTTTCTGTGTCATCTCTTCTCACAGGATGATAGACTATTTGAGCTGGAGGAAACCTTAGCAGTCAGCTCTAGGCCACCATGCTAACTGAGTGAACAAACCATTCTATAAATGAACAAATTGTAGTCCTGGAATGTTAAGTTATGTATTTCCAGGAGTAATAACCTATATATTTAATATCAACCCATCAGAATTTAAGATAGCTCAATCCTTGGAACAGACCCTGGGCATCCCTGCTGAGCTGTGTGTAACCCTTTAGTTGCTGGATCAGGGGAGTCTACCCAGGACAGGGCAGTGTGGCTTACACCCCTGCCTGCAGATGGGACATAAGTCTTGCTCATTTCTGATTCTTCACATGTATCCAATTTTCAAAGCAAGATTCTGAGGTAACAGGTTAAAATGACGTGTATAGAAAGAATCTTATAAAGTGAAAAAACTTCATGGGGTTTAGAAAGACATCTACAACTGAATTTACTCATTCCCGTGTGCATTTACTCATTCAGCCATAAAGTATTTATGGAGTAATTCCTCTGTGCCATGAGGATAAAACCATAAAACGGGGAATTATCTTTATGTCATTATTTATTATGTGACCTCAAGCACATTTAGAGCATAAAGAAGGAATAACATATAGCTTTTAAAGGAATAGTCAGGACTAAGTGAGTATGAAATAATGAAGGTTCCCAGAACAGTGTTTAAGAGATTTAAGTGTTTACTAAACAGCACTGAATGGCAGATTTTTAAAAAATGATTATGAAAGTAGAAGTTAAAACACTATTGCAAGGGAAGGAAAACTCAAAATATCAAAACTCAAAGCGAACCAGTTTCCTGTGATTAAGTTTAGACTTCCTTGGTAATATGGTCACAAAGGGCTGATGGGACTTGGCCAAGGTCACCCTGCTAGCCAGTGGCAAGGCTGAGACCCTTTTCTGTCTGCTTTCTTTCTCTACACATAATGCTGCATTTGAAGATTTTATTTCTTGAAAGTTTCTCTTGGCCCAGTGGCTGCCCTTCTGTGCTGTCTCTGTTTTGCCATCATTGGAGATGTGTGTGTATTGATTGTATCTGCATTTATTTGCAGTTTTCATCCTGTTTGCAAGTTCCTCAGGATTCAGGATGGGGTGTGGGGAGTTTTCTCTTTCCTATGGTGTGCCCTGTGACTACAGGGTCCCATACACAGTGGGTCCCCAGTAGACTTCACTGAGCCCTCTTCTTGCCCTGAACACCGGGGGGGGCCAAGTGTCAGACCCATGGGATCCATTCAGGAGAGTTTGTTGCTTTTCTAAGCCACTTTCGCCCATCCCCGTCATACTGCATTTCCAGATGAGACCTCAAGTTCTATCACACAGACACTCTCTATGTGACCCTGAGTTTTGCAGGAGGGAATTTAGTTATTCTTATCAGTGAAATAGACATGCTCGGTAGGTGAGTGAGAGAAAAGCAGGGGAGTAGGCCAACAGAAAAAAAGATTATTTTGTTTGCCTGGGCATAAAAGACAGTGTTTTTCTGTTACTAAAATACTTCTCTCACCCTCCCATCTCAGCAAGGCCTGCTGTTTATTGTTTCTTAACACATTTAGGAATTGTATACTGATTGACCCATTAATGCCACTTCTTTTTCTAAAGATTTTATTTATTTATTTTTAGAGAAAGGGGAGGGGAAGGAGAAAGAGACAGAAATATCAATGTGTAGTTGCCTCTTGTGCACCCCCTACTGAGGACCTGGCCTGCAACCCAGGCATTTTGCCTAACTGAGAATTGAACCAGTGATCTTTTGGTTTGCCCAACCACACTCAATCCACTGAGCTACACCAGCCAAGGCACATTAATGCCACTTCTAAGGAAATAATTGGACAATTGTGTAAAGGTATTTATGGGAGAATACGCAATAGAGTGTTTATTATAGAAAAATGCTGAAAACAACCTAATGCCCATAATATGGGAATATATCAATAATTTATGAGGTGTGCATTGGGTAGATTCCTATGCAGCCATTAAAAATGATGACAGATGTATGTTAACAAACAGAGAAATACGTGTAC